TGACAGTGTGGCAGGACTGGATGATTAATGCCTCATCGACAAGCCATTTTATCTGCTATGGTCACTGGGAAGAGTGTCCTTGCTAAGCAAGATGTTGCACAATCCCAGAGGTCTTGTCGCACTGCTCATTGACTTGGCTGAGGGAGAGGCTTTCTGCGCTTCCCAGATGCTTCAGTATCACACGTCGCTCATGCTCGTCCGCAGCCATACATTATCTTCAGCTTGGCAAGTGAATGCCTGTTATCTGTCATAAAGGCACTGTACAGTCCTGCAACGATGTCAACCATGACGAAGGATGCAAAATCTGATATGACCAGATGAGCCGCGTAGCTATTTAACTATTTGCTATTATTAGCCAATCATTATGCAGAAATAAATTAGCCAGCAACATGAAGCAAAATTTTGCCTCTTAGCACCGAATCTATCGACTCCTACGTTTAAGACTGAAGGCTTGTGAGACATGGACCGAAATCTCGGTAGTGATCAATCACCCAACTAACCATATTTTTTGCGTCGCATATTACTAAACCGTGTTTTATACTGCTTTCAGAATGACCAACGAAATTTTTAAATGTTTGATATACATTAAACTTAGTATACAAACTCAACAGAATCTTCGGTAAGTCGCTCCTGATTTATAATCTACATTAAAAGCCCAGTTTGGTCAGATATTTCAAAACTGCTCATTGTTTTCTACCGTTTGTACACCTGAAGTCCTTCATATACCGGTGTACCTACATTCCTTGAGATTGAGGTTGTTTCCCGTTTAAATGCCATTTGCCGGAGGTCTGTACATCGATGACCAGTGGCTTTTCAGGAACGATGCTAAGCTGTTCGAGATCTGACGGTCTTTTAGCGACCGGAAGAAGAAGCTCGTATCGATTAGTGTCGACCTTTTGAAATAACCGCCAATGGGTAGAGCTGTCCAGTTTAAAGAGCTTTGCAATTTTGGCCTCCAAATCTTCTGCAATGTTTAACGACGACCATGATAAAGACTGACAATAACAAAAAATATATCACGCTTACCTGTGGAAGCACTTCGGCTCATCACCACTCGCTTGACGTCTTTTTCGTTAGAATATAGGCATATAAACAGATCAAGGGGATACATTTCGATCTGTACAACAAACGCGTTAGACCGAACAGACTTGAAGATGAAAAAAGTTTGCCAACAACTACTCTTACCGTCTTCTGTTTTGTGAACATGCCACAGCTGATGACTTCCTTGCGCAATTCGTCCTGGGGCGACCTGAGACCGAAAGTATCGATGA